CGTTGGTGGGTTGGTTACAAAAACAAGTGGCAGGTATTGTAACCACATGTTTAGTTTACACGTTCTTTTTACCTTCAGATTTTGGATATAAGGCAGTCTTGTGTTCTTTCACCTTTCACTTTAGAAGTGTAGTACTTGGCTTCATTCAAACCATAGACATTTGTTTGTAGCTGGGGAGTCGCGACGTGATTCCACCTTGCAGGACTGCTGATGCAGTTGTCTTGACACGAGATTTGTGAACGGACCTTACATTCATATGCACTCTTATTGTTATTGCACTCTTCGATTCTAGACCTGCAGATTAGTAGATGCCATTTTGACTTCACTTATTGTCATCTTGCGTGCCTGTCACTTACATGGTGCTAGTACTGGTTTCTTAGTTTACAAGTGCGGCAGTGCAGAAGAACCAAGAATATAGCTCGCTTACAAGCAAGTTGTGTCCACATTTCTCCTGTACAGTGTCTGTCACATTGTCTGAATAAGCGATTTACCGGATAATTTTCATAGAAAACTTGCATAATTACTACTTTTTCCTTTAGCTTGCCATGGGATTGTTTCATCTTGGCTTTCTTGTGGTGTATATTTCGCCTCCACTTCTCAGTGGATTTACATGTGCGTCCGCCTTCCATGTGCTTTTGAGCCAGCTAAATGGACTTTTTGGAATTCAAATGAAGTCTGCTACAGGGCCAGGACGCTTGCCTTATGTGAGTTTCGCTTACCTTTTGCATTATTTAGTCAGCACCCCTTTTGCGTTGACTTACTCAAATAGTTACTCGATTACTTACTACTTTTTTATGTAAATGCTGTACTTGTTCACCTGTCTGCTTCTTGAAGCGCTACGAACACCACACCAAACCATGCACTCGGTCGTTTCAGTGAAGGGTATTTGAAACTGATAAATGCAGCATCAACATTGATCTTGGTGTTTGTGCGCATCCACCAAAAGCTATACATTTGACTGTAATAGCTTGCTGAGCGTTTGTGTGATCGACCAACTTTAGGTAATTTTTTCTGCGTTGTTCGGCACTACATCCTTTTCATGGGGTCATCTGAACAGACGCGCCTATCATGTCTCTCATGCCTCCTCTTAACATCTATTTAATGAAGCGTTCCGAGATTGTTTTGTTTTTATCTCACTGTCCTGCTACGATATGTCTGTTTTATCGTCGCCACCGTAACTATTTGGTGATATCATACTTCAATCGCACGTGTGTTTGTCCTGATGTCGCGTGTCCTCTTACTGAGCCTATTGGTTTCATAGTGCCTAATGGTCAGTGCTGAAACCTTTTGCCCAAGCACCGTAATTCACATTCCATCTGAACGCATTAACTGGATTCTTACCAGCTATCCACAAAATTTTGGTTATTGGTGCGAACCAGCTGATGTACTACCTGACATGTAAAGTGGATAACGATGAGCTGCCTTTCCCAACGTGTATGCCGTCATGTTACCTACACTAGTCGGTGAGATCTGAAGGGCTTTCACTCGAACAGTACAGTTAGTAACCGCATGCTGAAGGTCCCAGTCACCATTATCAAGATCAACAGCCCATTCCATTTAGGCAGCAGGAACTGTGTGGTAATCTATATTCCACCAGTTTTCACACCGTTTGTCTGTGTTACCTTTCATTAAGCCAAAGTTACTGAGTTTAGGCCTTACTTAGGCATTCAGAATATTTAATCGGCGAGTGTTTCTACATGCTGTTGAATTCGTCCGACTCCCTTCAACTGTATCTGCCACATGTGTTATGTCTGATACCCTCTGTATGCCTTAAGTTCGCGCAATGAATAGCATCGCAGCATTCAGCGGAGTACGGACCCGATGGAGTTTGCGCGTGTATGACTACTTTCTTGATCAAGCTCCCGCCAATGAGAAGCAGTGTAGCCGGTTGGCCATTTGCTTTACTGTTACATTTATCTTAGGCAGCACGGTATCAAACCCACTAATAACGCTTCCTGTTATTGAACTGCTCAGTATGAATGAGTCAGTTTTGCATTATATTAACTGACAAATACGCTGTCTTCTCTGGTAAGAGTCATCCTGCTCAATTCTGATCTCTGCGTCCAAGCTCCCCCATCTTGGTCGGCTTTTCAACAGCAGTCTTGTTAAGCCTACATAGTGGCTATCTGGTACGGCAAATATTTGTGACGAAGGCTTTCGAATGGCACTTTTAGTAGCTTATATGCCAGTAGAGAGTCATTTCATTTTAACTTACTAACGGGTTTATGGATATCATGAGCCCCTCTGTCGTATGTAATTGGTTGAAATGATGATTCAGTTCAGTTATTAACATGTACAATCAGTATACCGCTGGTCTCTTCTTTTAATCACAGACAGTGTATAACTTCTTCGCGGCAATCACAACCATCCACCTGGTCACCATCCTCATTTCTACGGCGTGTATCCTCATACTTGTGGCGTTCAGATTTTTCCTTAATCCGAGGATCGAGGCAAAAATCAGGTTTCCTTTCCCTGTGGAACTTATAGTGGTACGTAATCTGTTTTCGACGGTTTCGTATTTTTTGCTTTATCACTTCACCGGACATCGTACTGTATTGCGGGAATAATTCCATCCTTGTTAGCACACACCCCAGTATATATGGCAGTTTGTAAGTCGTAACTGTGCTATGCACCCTTGGGGCCTCATTTGTATGCTGACCTTGGTTATATGAAAATACAACTGAGCCATCACTGAACATGAGGGTTATTATCACCTCCTGGACACAGAAAGCAACTGTCACGCCACTGTGGTCTTCTAATTTACGTGTGGCACCTTAGCATTCATATGTACCGATATCATCAATGCTCCCTGAACAATGATGATCAATTTCTCTCTTCTAGCAACCTACTATGCTAAATGATAGATGCGGCTTAACAAAACCAACAGGGTTGAGCAGTGCCATATATCTGGTTAACAACTCCGATCTCTACCTTTAACAGACATAACAGATACCCACTTCGGCTACTTGTTCCCAGGTAAACGAACATCTGATAAATGGTTCGTAACCTACTTTATCGAGTATTTTGAGAGTTGGTGTGATTATTTGAGGCTACCATCCCTTTTGGTACGCAGTTTACGTTTCAAATCAGTGCTTGAGCTTTTCAAATATCGAATATGCCACTATTTGCATGGATCGATGTGCAGAGTAGAAACGATTACAATACCTTTGCTTCTGGTTACTGACTGGAAATTTTGAATCCTGCTCTAATTGCTTAATCTCACCGTTAGTACACAGAATTATACCACGTGACGTTAACATTTTACCCCGATGTATCGGGCTGCACATCATGCCATGGTTTGATTTCATGCAAACCTATTTCTCGCACTGTACTTTGAATGTACACTCGTTCACTCGCCGTAGTATTGGTTTAGAGATAAAAGTGAAATTTTATCGTTCTTGTTTCGTATCTCCCTCTTGCTTGGCGCTTGTCGTGTTCAGTCTTGTTTAATCTCCCATTTATTTATGAATATTTGTAGTCGCACTCAATTTCAGGTTCGTTTTGGCTTCGCATGCTTCCGTCCTTCTTCTGCTTCCATTCGCAAGTGATCATGAATTCGGGGTGTGATTGGCCGTCATCTATTTTGAATACTTATTCGTGATTTGGACGACACGTTTCAGCTTAAGCACACTGAAACAAACCGACTGGACAGCATCATTTACGATACTGCCCTCAACCAATCCAGCGAAAACATGTCGTACTATTGAGGCTCTCTTCGACGCTCATGTTCACTCATGGAAACATCAGTTTAGAGACGTAATGCTAGTCCAGTTATAGCTTAATCACACACAGACACAACCTCTCCCGATTCGAATCTAATCATCCGTTGACCTTTTGTAGATCGTCACCTATGTGAATGGGCTGCGAGCCGCAACCACAACCTGGACCGCGGTTAACGTCAAAATGAGTCCCAGTCGGTTCGACTACTGCCCGTTCGTTGCACCACATTCCACGACGGATTACCACTCGTCAAGCACCACAAATGTCACCTGCGGCTCAGTAGCGTAGTTAAAGACTTCATTTGGTACTCTCTGCATTTCGGACCGGAGTTGTGTTTCAGGCATCTCCACTGAACAAGCACTGATAAGCACGAGAACGGTCGTTGGATTCAGCCTTTTGTGTTAACACCGCTGATAATCTAACCGCTGATCCAGTTCTGTTGAAATATCGGGAGGGTATTTAATGAATTCGCTTCTACTGTGCTTTTGGAATCCATACTTCCTATGCGCCGCTCCCCCCACACACACCCAGGGTTGGATCCTACTTTGCAAAGGGCGACACCCTTTAGTGCTTATCAGGCACTTTCGCAAACATGTTGGCAAGAAGCTATCCTTTCACTAATGCAAAGATAATTCTCTGTTACACCAACTAAACAATTAATCTTATATAATCTCCATTATTTGTTGAATGGCTCACGAAGTCGTTGGGTGGATGTGTATAAACGGTATTCCGATTAGAAACGTCTCATGCATGTAAATTCTGGGTAAATTTTCAAGATGTCGACGTATATACACAGGAGCCATCTAGTTTGTGAAACCGAACATATTGTGTGTTTCATGCTTTATGGAGTATCTAGTGAGTTTCCTTCACATTAAAACCGGTAACGTACGCTTGATATAGCAAGATAATATTTTTCAAATGAAGTTTTACGACAAAAAGTCGACGACCACTGGGGCTTCTTCCTTCACGGATACCTACAGCGTAATGGGTATATAGTGGAGAGGAAGGATTTCGGTTTTCAAAATGTGGACGTATCGCGCGTCATCACCATGGAACCTTCTTTATGTTTTGGTCGATATAGTGCGTAATCATTTTTATGTAAACTACGACCCACAAGTTCTCTTACTAACTTTTTCTGAGTACGGTGTTGCACACCTTAGCTTCCGATCCTGGCTTCTACAAGCGATATTCTCAATAATTTCCATATAAGCAGTACCCTCAGATATCCTGATGATTTGGCTTATTACTCGAATTCGCTTATCTCCGCAAACAAGACTTCCGTCTGTTATAGAATCTGTAACCACGGCTCACTTAGTAGGTCAGTTCATCCTTAGTGTTCCTAAGTTTGTCAGTGAGGCCGAGAATAATCAGACAGTTCCAATCTACTTGGCTTCACTGCAACAAAAATGGTATTCTTTGAGCGGCCCTCTAAGTGTGACATTACTTCTTTGAATACTGCAAAAGTCTAATTTCCGCCACACAGAGCACTTTCCGTGTTGCCGACTGAACTCATATGCTGCTGCTGCTTCCACTGAAGGAAGCTCAGCCTATTGGGGCCAACTTCCACTGCGCATACCAATTTGTATCTAACTGCGGAGTTAGTTAAGTAGACAGGACCAATGGAACACTGAAGGAGCATGTGCCAAAATGTCTTCAATGCAAGAGTATGCAGCATGCAAGCTCGAGTCGGACTACGTTTGTGCGCAGGCCACCGGCATTTTCGATCGGCAGACACTTATTGACCCCGGGTCACCGAACTGAGCTTAACAAGGCGTTTATGTTCCTGCCTCGCCATACCAATTCCCGGCTCCCCCGGTTCCCCGAGACCATTGCCATAAATCGAATTAAGCCAGTGATTTGTGTGCAAAAACAGCTACCGTTCAGTCTCAAGCTGCCCTGGTTGTAGGAGCAAGACACCCGCTTTTCCTCTCGTTTGTTTGTATTTATGTATGTACCCACAAACGGTTGTATAAAATTACCGGTTATCGTTATCGGCACTGATGAACGATACCAAATGTTTGCATCTGCCAAACTCCGTCTTCTCACTGTGCTTTTCAAATTACTGAGGGGAATCGACTACTGTAAAGTACTGATTGATAAAATTGATCTCAGTGACTCGGCGATCTACAGATAGCATCACCGGTTTCCCTCGAACTTCGTTTTGATGACTGGATGCAGCACTTGGAACATCAGTCCACCCGGCTCAAACCTTTATTGAACTGACGCCTGCTTTCTTGGTTGTTTGGAGACCCCATGATAGTATGTCGCCACCTTCTGAAACTCAGCCCGATCATCAACCTGAGAGACAATGGCTTGAAATTGAGTCAGCCATACAGTTGTCCAGATTTTTACCATCTTACTTATCCCTCTGGGTCGGGCAAACCTGATACGCCTTTTTAGTTGTCTGCGCCTCCACTGTTTCCACTTTCAAAACGATTGGATATCGCACTAAGCCCCCTACAGTTTGTAGTATGAAGGTATATTCGGGGATATATGCATTCTAATTAACATCTCTGAAGTTAGAACTAACGGCGACGCACGTAAATATGTGCAGACGGTCAAGCAATCCAATTGTAATTTACTATAAATATTAACCATAACAATTTTGTATTCCGTGTTGCATGATAACACCTCACTCCCACGACGCTACTTCTATGCAATTACACTATCGTCTTTACCCATGCGCATTTTCTTTGGCCTACTTGTGTTGTATATGAACTTACAATACTTTATATTAGAAAACCTACATGACATGTTAGTCTATGCCTTTTATCCGTCATAAACCATTGTTCCATTGTTCATCATCAGATTACGAAAGTATGCTCGGACTCTGACCACATCATTCCTTTTTTCAGAATAGCTTGCAGCGCTTTGCCATCATTATGCGACGCTTTTATTCCCGTAAGATTCTTTATTATCTTTCCTGTTCAAATGTTCCATTGTAAAGTAATCTTTGCACGCTTTCGCATGCACAAAATGTAGCTACCATCTGTCAGAGCATGCTTCTATGTATTTAACGTGTGAATGCCACCAGTCTAAACTCTTTTGTTCACCTAATAGTCAGACAAACTTTCAATGTCTGAGCCTGCATCTGTTGATCCTACTTGTATGTACCTTTCAGCCTTGGTAACTTTTCCTTCCACCCAGATACTCGGTCTTTGGAAAAATATGGGCATTTGCCCTCCGAGCTCGCTTCTTGTTAGGAAACTTAATTAGGCAGTGTTGTCGGAATGCCATAATTCGAAGGCAGACAAGCATAGTACGTAACATTCACTAGATGTGTGTAACAATGGTTCGGAACGTTTCGTACAATTCTTATCGATCAATCAGTACAGATTCAAACCGCTTGTGTCACTAGATTACAGCTCAAAAGAGATCGCTGTTGGTTGCTTTTACCGTGTTTTTGTTAGTAGAGAAGTGGGTTTCTCTTGTAGTAATCGCAACTCTGCTGCAATTAAACAAATGCCCTGGTCTGCTCTACTTTGTCACAGTTCAGAGCCATAGCCCCTCGGTTTTCAACAGCACGACTGCAGCCAGCACGTAACAGCCTTCCACATCCTTGTCATGACTCATGCACCTTAGACTACGGTCATCTCGGTAGCTAACATTTCGTAAGGCTCCCTGTTCTCCCAAATCCGAGCATTGTTCCACGCCATCCAACCAACTTCCATACCTAGTCCGTTTAACTTGAAGGGCGCCATGTGGGATATCAAGAAGTTGGACCGGATTCTCGCCTAACTTCTGGGGCCAAGAGTCTCAGAACTAGTGT